ATTTGTACTCAATTTTCGTATATTGATTGTAACACTTGGCGTATGATTGGTTTTTATTTATCTTAAGTTTTTACTGTCTGTCAATCATACGCCTACGGCATTTTTAAAGAGGATATATTGGGTTTTTTAAATATATTTTTCTGGTGAAAAATTTACGAAATTGTGTTTTAATATTATTGATTATAGATCATTGACCACTGTTATAGTAGAAATGTACTTAAAAATATTTATTTTTACTGACTTTAATGACATTTTCCAATTACTTTAAACCTAAAATAGTAGTTCCTCGCAATTATTTGCTTTTTCCTCCATTTTAACATCAGCAAGTAACTATTTATTGTTTCCTTTTTGGAGTTACTTGAAAACACATTGCTGCAACATTTTACTAAGATTAAAATAAAATAATAATCAAACTGGAAAATAAAATCACAAACAATATTTGATCATTATTTGTGGAACGGTCATCTCTTTAATGGCATTTGATGATTTTATTATACGAGTTAAATCGCTTTTAAATTGCAACTACAAGTTGTTATTTCTATTTATTTCTCAGTTTTATAGGGACAAGTACGATATTTTTTAGTGTTCTTAACACAAAAATATAGATGTTGGGACAATTTTCCATTTTACGCTCTAGTTTGATTTTTTCCCTATTTTAGTAATACTTTTTTTATATATGTATATGTATTTTGTATGATGATGACGATGATTAGAAATGCTGGTCATGTTCACATCGTAAAATGTTGTTCTAGTTTTTTTTTTTTTGTAAGAAATAGAAACAAAAACAACTTGTTCATGTATGTATGTGTAGTCACATGGAAGAGAGGGTTTGTATGTGTATGATTTTGGGTACGAATGACTGAATATGAATTGGTCATACATTTTTGGCATATACAAACATACTGTGTATGCAGACGTATATACAAACGTACATATGTATGTATGAATGTTTATCTCACTGTATGTACTACCATAAATTTGTATAAAACTAGTCTGACTTTAAAGGTTTGAGTTATACAATGATATCAATAAATAAATTTATATAATTTCATGTAATAAAGCGAGAGAAAGAGAGTTGTGTGAAATTAATACTTTAAAAGTAAATTGTAGTGAAAATTAGAATAGCTCAGGAAGAAAAGGAACTGACATAGAACCAAACATGTGATTAATACCGCGGATAGTTTAGAATACTTTTTCTGATTATTATCTCTAATTTTTTTATATAATATTAAATAACGTGCTGAAAACGTAAAATATTATTTAAAAGCGTAATTATGTTCTTAGTACATTAATATTAAGGGTATAACCAAAATTATTGGTAAATAAATCAGATAAAGATCAGTTAACACCAAATCCCTTTGTATAATTGAAAATATATTTTATATTGGTCTAACTATTTTCTTTACGTTTAGCTGTATTAAATATGTAAGATCTGTTGAATAAAATTATGTCCCTAATGTAGATACTATAGGGAATTATTTTCTTTATTATTTTTATTTTAATATAACTACATACACATATTAAAAAAATATATTTTAACATACATACATATGCATTTTAGTCCTTTTTTTTGTTATTGCTGCTTATCAACAATATGTCCTTGGTTTATACTTTTAGTTTCAAAACATATTGTATGTAACAGCAGCAGCAGCAGTAGCAATTGTATATAGACCGAAAAAAAAGAACAGTTATGGTATTGGTGGCAGTGGTAGCGGCCATATTAACAAAACAAAATATTGTCCCCCGGGCGATATGAAATCGTGCCTTGCATTGACAAGTTCCCTTTTATTTTCATTTAGTCATTCATTCAGTTTTTACCATTTGCCATTCTAAACAATCTATTATATAAAAACAGAAAACAACTTTTGTACTGTTTTGCAACTTAATGGTCGGGGACTGTTTAAAGCGTCTATTCTCTTCGACTTGTTTATTTAATAACGGGACAGAAAAGGACAAAATTTAAATTTGTTATTTAAAATTTATTAAATATAGAAGAAATAAATGAAATTATTTCAAATAAAATGGGAGCAGTATTTATTTTATTTATTTAGTTAAAATAATGAAAATTTAAGAGAAATTTAATGATTTGTTGAATCATCTGTACATTATTAGTCCAGTGGAAAATTTTAATGCAAAAATTTGTACACATCAGAAAAACAATCAGTTGCAAGAAAAAAACATTAGAAAATATTCGAAAAGTGCTAACTCAAAAAAATCGAGTTTACATACAAGTTCACTTTGTCTTTTCCTAGGATTTATCTTGAGCTAGCACATTTTTGAAAATTTTAATTTAAAAATTGATATTTTTATTGGTAAAATAAAACTGACTATATTTCCAAAACTAAATATCAAATTTAAATTTTTAATTCTATATTTATATAAATTGTTTTCCATAACATGATTTTAGGCTTTTTTTGTAAAGTTATGTTATCGGCATGTTTCTCATTTACCAAAAACTAAAAGTGCAAAGTAATCGGCCCTCGTAGCGAGAACCAACTGGAACTCTTGCCTGCAACAATTGCTTTAACAAAATCTGAAAAATTTTATACTGTCGCCTGGAGTCTTAAAAACTTTTTTGTGTTGATTGAAAAACTTCAAAATATGTATATATGTACGTACATATAAGAGAGAGTACACAAGAGTGTGTATGTATGTATATTGGAGTACTTATGTGTGTGGCACATAATGGTTGTACTCATATACATACATATATACATGATCCCGTATTTCAGTTTGTATATTTGCGGCATGATGTTTGAAATATGTATGACAGTTGGGGGAAGTATTTAAGAATTTATAAGCCATTGCGGTATCAGGTAGGTGATGTTGGCGAGAAAAGAAGTAGTGGGCGGTAGTAAAAGATTTTATGATTTTATATGAATCTGTATAAAACTTTAGACTTCGCTTTGTTGTTGTCGTTATTCAATTTTGTGTGTTTGTTTCTTATATACTATGTGTTGTAGTAGCTATAAATTTATGAATTTTTATGTATTGCTTATGTTACTTTCTTTTCCTTGTGACTTTATTCTTTTAATTTTCTTATTTTTTAATGAAAAACTTTTAATTTAATCAACACTTTTAACCTTTTGTATAATGTTGACGATGATGACGTTGATTATTAAAACTTTCATTGTTTTCGTTATACAATAATAATTTTCTATTAGTGTTCGGCGGCATGTTTTGTTTGTTAGTGAATATGTGACTGTTGAAATAGGTAGCTTAAATCGAAGAGATTAGTACAGCTAAGCAGTTTAATATTAAATGTGTTTTTACTTTTAAATTTTTTATTTGCAAACTAAGTTTTTATTGAAGCATATTTTAAAATTTATTATTTTCCTTATGGAAAAATTTTTATATGAATGTTGGACCGATCCATTAGTTTACAGCTAACTAAAAAACACTTATATGAATAAAGGAAGCTTTCCACAAATTTAAATTTGTATACCCACCATCAAAAAAGATGAGGTGTATATTGATTTTGTCATTCCGTTTGCAACACATCGAAATATTGGTTGTAGACCCACATTCTAAGTAAATCTTATTAAATTCTAAGTAAATCTATCAATGTCTGTCTGATTCGAACGGAAGTTTCCAATACGTAGTCCTCGGAAAACAGTTTTAACAGTAATAACTGGTTTAAAAATACAAGTATAATGATGAAATTTCACATAAACAGGTCTTATGCGAAAAAAATCTCTTTACCAAATTTTATGAATTTGGGTCCATAATTGACCTTACCCCCATATAAGGTCCCCTTTAGAAAATGACTTAAACGCTCATTACTGGCTTAAAAATACAAGTACAGCTATGAAATTCGACATAAACAAGTTTTGTACGAACCAAAAACTTTCCACCAAATTTTATGATGATCGGTCCATAACTGTTCCTACCTCCATTTATGGTTCCCTTTAGAAAATCACTTTAACGCTCATTGCTAGCTTAAAATGTGAGTACAGCGATAAAATTCAACAGAAACTAGTTTTGTATGAACCAAAATCTCCTTCCAACTTTGATGAAGATTGGTCGATAACTGATCCCCCCTCATTTAAGCACCCCTTCAGAAAATTACTTTAGCTTTTATTAGTTTCTTAAAAATATTACTTAAGCGATGAAATTCGAAATAAACAACTTCTTTACGATAAGGTCCACTTTAGAAAACTATTTTAATGCTCATTACTCTCATAAAAATACGTATAAATTACAATAGTTTTATAGGATCAGAAATTTTCCCTTCAGAAAATCACTTTACAGAGATGAATGAAAATAATTGTTGTATAAACCGAAGAGGATAGGTCTATAATTGACTCTACACCCATATAACCCCTAGTATAAGAAACCAGTTTATGGTTATACAAATTGGACAAAACGAATAATATTTTTAGTTGGGAAGAGTACGGTCCATACTTAAGCCCTCACTAAAGGCCCTCTTCCAAATATTACACTGATGTTCATATTAATATCTACATAGGATAATAAAATTCAACATATGTAGATCTTATAAATGTGAAAATTGTTTCAATAATAACATAGATTCATAAAATCAAAAAGTATTTATAAGGAATAATTCCGAAATGATTTAACGGTGGGTATATAAGATTCGGTATGACCGAATGTTACACTCTTACTTGGAGCGTATGATTGATAACTAATGTATGTATATGAGATGAAAAATGTTAATCATACGCCGTAGGTAATCAAATAAAATTAATATTTTTAATGTTCTCTTTGGAAAGCAAAACAAAGCATTTGATATTATTGACAAAAATATAGATTCTAAATTCCACACTAAGCTTCAATAAATTTTTACATTACATTCGATTTGATTAATTAAAAAAAATTTATACTGCTTTCGAAAAATTGCTCAAGGAGTTATAATAGATTTTACAATTTCTGACAATGTTTATGTTACTACCTGTTCTCTCTTTTTTAATCTAAATATCCTATAAGTTGTGATACTTTGTTTGTTTTTCTTTTTTCAAACATTTTTGTTTCCAACTTACCTTGACATAAAAGTCTGCTTTGTTGTTACGTAGAGTTTTTTCTCTTGTGTTTGTTGCCGTTAAAGAAGTGCAGGATTTTAATTTAGCTTTTAAATAATCTTCTAAATAGTTCTCTTCATTGTTTATGTTTGTATGAGTTTAAAAACGTGAGTGTGTATATGTGTGTATTTATACAAATTCAAATCCAATAATAAAGTTAAACAATATTGTTTTTCATAAAATTTACTATTTTTATCTCATTTACTGCATTATATGTAGGGAGTAGTATAAAATATGTATGTTATTTTGTTTGTTAATTTTTGATGTTTTAAACTATTAAAATTTTTTGTTTTGTTTATATTAATAAATTAATTCCTGCGTTTTTTCTATTGTTATTATTTTTATAATTATTTTAATATATTTAATTGAAATTAATGTTGCTGCTATTGTTGTTTTTATTATTGTTTTGTTATTAGATTTTTTGTATGTTGTAGTTTTATTGTTGTTTTTACTGAGCTGCTATTTAAGTGTTTGTTTATGTTTGCCTTTTGGTAGTTAAATTTAATAATTGTTATCGCTCTTTAGTTTTTTCCCATTAATTTTGTTGGTGCTTGTTAGCATAGTGAGAGGAAGAGAGACAGTAGGCAAAAGAGATATGCTTGCTTTAATCAAATTTGTTATTATGACATTTATTTGCCGTTAATTGAAATCTAGTTTTATGTTTTATTGTTTTCTTTTTTGTTGTTTCTGCTGCTGTTTATTTTTATTCATTTGTTGCATCAATATTCATTTACATTTGTTTGTGTATGTGTGTGTATGCGTGAATGTCATCCATTGCATTTGTTGTTTTTTGTTGCTGCTCCATTTTCAAAACTGATGACAGTCATTTATTTGTATCATTAGCATTTTATATTCCAAAATTGCACAATCTAAAATAGAAACAGACAGTAGAGGGAGAACAAGCGAAAAGTAGTTAGAAAAAATAACATTAACATAATTTAAATGAAAGTAAATAAATTTAGTTTTTAATTAGTTTTTCTAAACATACATTTTGCTCTGTTTTTAATTTATGGATACTTTTATTTAATTATTATTTGTAATGTATATGTATACTAAAATATATTATAATAATTAAAATATTTTGAGATAAGAATTTTTAATTATGATATGATCAAATCAATTAATATTCTTTAAAATACATTTAAAGATTTTAAATATTACTACATATTTGTAGTGGATTCTTGTAAACAGATATACTAGTAAAATTAATGACAATTTGTAAATTACCTCAAAAAATTTTTCTTTAACTAACTCACTTAAAATATAAATATGTATGTTTAACAAAGTTTATCTTAGTTAACATTTTAGTTCATTTGTGAAGAAAATTTTATTTTTTTTTTTTATCACAATTGAAATGGTAATAATTAATTAATAATTTACATACTTTTCAAAAGGACTTTAAAAAAATATACACATGTATGTATATAAATCAATAACACTTTTGTTGTCGTTACTTCATACTTATATGCATATTTGATTTCAAACAATATTAAAAATGAAAAATTTATTGAAATTCGAATAAAATAAGCTTTCGGTTAAAGTATTGCTACTGCGTACATATTAAAACTCACATACATTGTTATTTTAAATAAAAACAAAATGTTATTCATTAAACATTTAACAACTCTGAAATTTATATGAAAATCAACAATAGAATGTAAAAAATCAATAAATCCAAAATTGAGTATAAATAATAATGAAATTTAATACCGACATCACAGAAACGAAACAACAAATATACTGGATGAATATTTCTAATACTTACATACAATACATAAGCAAAACATATTTATAAAAAAGGAAAATTACAAAATAAAATAAATCTTTTTTGATCCAGTATAAGTATGTAAATATATATATTTGTATATGTACATATGTACGTTCCTATGTGTGTAATTGCAAATAATATTATATTTTAGCTTAATACTTATTTTTATTTTACCCATTTTTCTGTAGTTTTTTGCATTTTATTCTGGGCGCGCTTGTGATTAAACGAGAAATATATAAAACAATTGGGTAAAAATATGTTTTATTTTTTATACAGTACACGTAAATATTTATGTAATCGAAAAAGCACATATTTGTATGTATTTTTGTGTAAATATATTGAAATTAAATATAGACAATAAACAACAATAATGATAATAATTACACCTGTGTACAATATAGACTCAAAACTGTTGAAATAATATGTAAAAAGGAAACATGATTATAAATACATGTCCATACATACTTAAGTATGTACTCATCAAAATTGGTTAATTGAAATTTAAAAATGGATATAATATCAGTACACGATTTCGTTTAGATCAAATACAAAATCTGCATATATTTGCCCCTTACCCAAGATAGTGTTACTTTTAGGAAATTAAATAAATGAGTATATGTATATAAATTAGTATATGTAAATAAATGCATATATGTATATATATATATATATATTATATATATATATTTTTAATTGTGACCAATTTTTTAACTTTGTGGTAATTCTACTTTCGATTCGTATTGAGTTCTCTGATAGACCTCATATATTCTAAATTAATTTATCAAGCATTGTGACTTACTTACATACTTACTAATAAATTAGACATTTTGTCAATAAATATTTCATAATATTAACTAAATAATTAATATTTTCTCATATTGACGAAAAACCACAAAAGGACCAAACATATATGTATGTATGTATGTATGATGTAGTATGTATGTATGTATGTATGTATGTAGTATGTATGTATGTATGTATGTATGTATGTATGTATGTATGTATGTATGTGTATGTATGTATGTATGTATGTATGTATGATGTATGTATGTATGAGTATGTATGTATGTATGTATGTATGTATGTATGTATGTATGTATGTATGTATGTATGTATGTATGTATGTATGTATGTTGTATGTATGTATGTATGTATGTATGATGTATGTATGTATGTATGTATGTATGTATGTATGTATGTATGTATGTAGTATGTATGTATGTGTATGTATGTATGTATGTATGTATGTATTATGTATGTATTATGTATGTATGTCTGTATGTATGTATGTATGTATGTATGTATGTATGTATGTATGTATGTATGTATGTATGTATGTATGTATGTATGTATGTATGTATGTATGTATGTATGTATGTATGTATGTATGTATGTATGATGTATGTATGTATGTATGTATGTATGTATGTATGTATGTATGTATGTATGTATGTATGTATGTATGTATGTATGTATGTATGTATGTATGTATGTATGTATGTATGTATGTATGTATGTATGTTGTATGTATGTATGTATGTATGTATGTATGTATGTATGTATGTATGTATGTATGTATGTATGTATGTATGTATGTATGTATGTATGTATGTATGTATGTATGTATGTATGTATGTATGTATGTATGTATGTATGTATGTATGTATGTATGTATGTATGTATGTATGTATGTATGTATGTATGTAAATATATACTTTGTTCGGTCTCAGATGCATATATTTCCCAATGTTATACATAGAATAACAAACGTACATATGTACACCCTCTAGTACCACTGACGATAAACCGACAATTTCTTCAACCACTAACAAATATTCTTTTAGCTACAAATTTCATTCTTAAAAATTGTGCTACATACTTCTACTGGATTAGTCTACTAATTTATTGGACTAAGTAAAAAAGGCAGAACAATTGCATATGTGGGGAGTTCTTGTTATTGTGACCGAAGTAGTAAATTTACATTCTTGGTTACATATGTTTATTTAAGTAGTTATTTTAGCATGTATTTAAGGGAGACCCGAGGATCAACGTTTTTCGAAATTTGATGTGGGCATATGCCTAACATTTATGTACTAACAAATAGTATTTTGAAATGATCCTCAGTTTCTAACATCGATTGAAAATATTGATCTCAGGACAAATTCCCAAAAAGAACAAATTTCATAAATTGCTTAATTTTGGGCTCATTGTGAGAAAAATAATGGTATTTTTTTTAGCATTATAAGATCCATATGAACTAAAATGGGCCAAATAAAACGTCACATAATTTGTTTAATACATTTTTTATTGTAATAACCTAAAAATTTGGGTGACGCGAAAGGCTAGTTGGTAGTGTCCTAGCTTATCAGTCTGGGAGTTGTGGGTTGGATATAATGGATAAAAAAATAATTAAATAAATATCCTAAAAATTAAGAAAATTTTGACACCTATGTATTTTGAAAAAGTTAGAATCCATAAATTCGTCGTAACGCTCTACGACCTATTACAGTACGGTAATACGCTTCGTTTGAGAGGTGTGTCTAAATTCGGAATTCTATTGATTCAACACAAACTACTGTCACAATTCGAAAATTAATAATTGTGATAAGTAAATTAACCACTAAGAGATTGTTTAAAATTACTTCTTTCTCTTTCTATTATTAGAGATATTAATCCACTGCATTATTTAATAGAATAGAACATAGAATTAGTCTAGTAATAACTTACAAATAAGAGATTATGTACTTACATTTCAGCCTTGACATATTGTCTTCGAACTTTGTTTTTAACACAAATGAAAACAAAATGTTTTTTTGTGAAAACTAATAATAGACGCAGTTGGTGTATCCTCGTAGACATTGTTTTCTCAGAAACAGAATTCCTTACTTAACTCCCTATTTGCAGGTGATCGTAAAAGCGCTTGCCTCCATCTTCATCCCCGTGTTAAAATAATGACTTAAAATGCTTTTGTATAAGTAGGTTTTATGATTTTAACCCCTTACTTTTTTCAATGCAAGTTTTTGCTGGGTATATTTGTTAGCCATACAATTTAACATTTCATTTCATAATTGTGACATACTTTTCTGACTTTGTACTGAGCAGTTTATTTTATATTCATTTATATTTTTGTTATTATTTTACTACAATTTTTTCTTTAAATACTGTTTTAAAATACAATATTTTTTTATTTCATTATAAATTGATGCACATACGAAAAACCAACATTGTAAATTACTGCATGAAATATGTTGATGTTATTAACTAAAGAGCGTAAGCATTTAATTAATAAATTTTAAAATAAAAGCAAACTACTCATACATACTATAAGTATGCACATACATACACGCATAATCCATGGACATAAATGTGTGTTTTGTATAAAAGTTAATTATTTAATGTTCGAAATGTTGTCTTTATTGCTTGAGGCATAAAGGGGATTTAATGTCATTGCCAGAACTTTATTTAAAAGTCTAAATTTTTAACAATTTGTTTATGTCATGACATTTATACTGTACTAATGTAAATGGTGTCAGTTTATGTTAAACCATTTGTAATATTCACAATATTTAATGAAAATAAATGTTAGTATTGTGTGGAACTAGAAAAAAGTATTTTTATTAAAAAAGTAAATTTTAAAATTTAAATAATTTATATACATACGTATAAATAATAAATCTGTTTAGAATGGCTTTTAACATAATATAAGCCTTCATTTATTTTCCCTTTTCTCGGTAACATAACTTTATCACTCTATTTACAGTTAGTTGAGTTGTTTTTCTAAGCAGTACTTTTCATGTTATTATGGTGGGAGTAACTGTTATTATTACTTTTTTTCTCTTGTAACTTTTCAACGTCAGCGGAAAGTTGAACAATAGAAATAAAAATTGACACGCAGCACGTGAACTTGCTAAAGGAAGACGAGCCATAGAAGTTTATTTTTCTTATTGTTTGTATTTGGGTGTTTTTATTTATTATTTGATTTTTGTTGTTCGTTTCCAAAATCAAAATGATGACTTGTGCCGTTAATGGTGTGAAATTTTACAAATGTTTTTTTTTTACTTTCTATTTTATTAGTTTTAATAATTTTACTTGCCAAGTAGT